TCATTGTGTTTGCAGTGGGAGTGTAGCTGCAGTAACTGGGACACATGAGGGAGCACTGGACTCAAAAAGACATGAGGCTGCTGGTGTTGAAAGGTATTTCTTTTACCTTGAGTGCTGTCAGAGACTTTTGCAATGATAAGCCTGTACCTACAATTGACCGCAAGCTTCTAGTTTTTGTCAAATAAATGTTAGATGTAATGTAAATTTACAGCTGCTAGTATGTCCCATTGTGCTTGCGCCTGCTGTGAGCTGACACCATGGGATTTTCAGAGATAGTAAGAACTGCAGATGCTGGAGTCAGAGGTAACAGAGTTTGGAACTGGAGGAACACAGCAGGCCAGGCAGCATCAGAGGAGCAGGAAAGTTGACGTTTCGGGTCAGGATTTTCTGAAGATGCGTCAACTCTGATGCTGCCTGGCCTGCTGTGTTCCTCCAGCTCCACACTGTGTTACCATGGGATTTTCATTGCTTTTGGGAAAATGAAAGCATCCAGGGAAAATGACCCTTCTCTTCATCCATCTTGATCAGCTTCCTGTTGCTGTCAAACAACTTACTTTCATTGATGTGGATGTTGTCTATATGGATTTTAGTAAGGCCTTTGACAAGTTCCTGCACGTCAGGCTAATCATGAAGGGAAGGTCGCATAGGATCCAGGGAGAGCAAGCTAATTGGATTCAAAACTGGCTTGATGATAGAAGCAGTGGGTGATGGCTGAAGGTTGTTTCTCAAACTGGAGGCCTGTGACTAGTGGTGTGCCACAGGGGTCAGTGCTGGGACCTTTGTTATTTACATAATTGATCTGGAAGTGAACGTACAATGCAAGATTAGTAAGTTTGCAAATGATACAAAATTAGGAGGCATCATTGATAGTGAGGAAGGTTATCAAAAATTACAGAGGGATCTGGATCAGATGGGGAAGTGGGCTGAGGATTGACAAGTGCAATTAAATTCAGATAAGCGTGAGATGTTGCACTTTAGAAAGTCAAACCAAGGTAGGACTTATACAGTAAGCAGCAAGGTCCTGAGGAGTGTTGTGGAACAGAGGGACCTAGGAGTACAAGTACATAGTTTGCTGAAAGCGCGTTGCAGGTAGACAGGGTGGTGAAGGCGGCATTTAGCATTCTGGCCTTCATCGGTCAAGGCATTCAGTATAGGAGTTAGGTCATTACGTTACAGTTGTATAAGCCGTTGGTGAGGCTGCTCTTGGAATATTGTGTACAGTTTTGGTCACCCAGTTATAGGAAAGACATTGTTAAACTGGAAAGTGTGCAAAGAAGATTTACGAGGATGTTGCCAGGACTGGTTATAGGAAAAGGCCAGCCAGGATAGGATTTTATTCCTTGGAACGTAGGAGAATGAGGGGTGACCTTATTGAGATGTATAAAATCATGAGGGGCACAGATAGGATGGATGCATATAGTCTTTTTCCCAGGGATGGGGAATTGAAAACTCGAGGGCATAGGTTTAAGGTGAGAGGGGAAGGATTTAAGAAGGACCTGAAGGGCAACTTCTTCACACAGAGAGTGGTGCGCATAAAATCAATGGGTTGCCTCAAAGCGATTGAGGCAGGTACAATAGCAACGTTTAAAAAACATTTGGATAGGTATATGGATGGGAAGGGTTGAGAGAGATATGGACCAAATGTGGGCAATTGTAACTAGCTGAGCGTGCACCATGGTTAGCATGGACCAGTTTCAGCCAAGGGCCTGTTTCCATACTGTATTACTCTATGACTCTATGTGACAGCACCTCTGATTAAAACACTTGGAGACTGAAGTCAGACTGAGATTCTACTTTTACATTTTTTGGCATATTTGTCTGTATGCCTGCTTCCAAAAGATCTGGGAAATTTGCTTGGTTCTTTCTGAAGCCCTTTTTGGTCTCAGTCTGGGTCTCCCAATAGGCAGGGCACTAGTTATGGCAGCATTAGGGTAGGTGAAGGCCTAGTGGTTTTATCGCTAGGCTATTAATCCAGAGACCAAGGTAACATTCTGGGGACCTGGGCTCAAATTCTGCCATGGCAGGTAGTGGAATTTGAATTCAATAATAATTAAGTATCTGGAAGTAAGAGTCTAATGATGACGATGAAAGCATTGCCAATTGTCAGGAAAAAACCCATCTGGCTCACTAATGCCCTTTAGGGAAGGAAATCTGCCATGTTAATCTGGTCTGGCACACCTGTGACACCAGACCCACTGCAATTTGGTTGACTTTTAACTGATCTCTGGGCAATTAAAGATGGACAATAAGTGTTGGCCTAGCCAGTGAATGAATTTTAAGAAAATGGACCCACTCTGGGACTGAGCTCCAACTGAGGATAGGGATGGTTAATCATTGATCAGCATCAGTATGGATAGGGTAATTCCCGTCATTGTTTCTTCTCTTACATGCATCTGGATCCCAACTACAAATATGAAGACACTTACTTCCTGAATCCATCAAGTCCTTGTGTTGAAGAAGTTGCCAGTTTCTCTTGCACCAGTCAAAGATCAAAAGTTGTTTGTTATATTTAAAAGTCCAACCTATCTCCTCAGACCATTTCAATTAGGAATGGGCAGTTTGGAGATGGATTTAGATCAGGGATCAAATTTGTGATTTCAATGTCAACCTATCACCTGAACCAAACCTGCCCATTTTTCAGCAAAAACTCCACCCAGCATTTCAGTTGAAATAAAATGAAATCTGAACAGGAGTCAACCATAAATACCTTTAAGTTGCTTTTCACCTGTTTGAGGACTTCTTATTGCAACTGGCATTGCTTTGCTACCAACTTTAAATGTTCTATATTGAGTAAGGCATTAGCAGGAAGGGAGTGCTCCAAAAACCAAGTGAAAAAAAAAAGATTTTCAGAATTATGCACTGTTGAGAGTGACAAATGACAAGGAGGAACAGCTCTCTGCATTTAGGTTATTTCTGGCCAGAAGTTTCACTTTATAATTAGTAACATGACTGTAGGAAAGTTTTTCCACCAGCGTGTCAGCAGAGTTGTTTTTATTTATATATCACAGCTGACCCACATTGATTGCTGTCACTAACCCTGTAAAGTGAACATCGAAGAAAGCACTGAGGGCCAACAGTGCTGATAGTCTTCAAAGACAACAGGTATATGTAGCCAAAAGTTATATGGGGTCTAATTGATATAATAAAACCTTTCCAGCAAATGCAACCAGAACATCCATGTCAAATCAACTTCAACTAAATATATTACAATCTGGCAGACATACCAGGCACTGATATTTTGCTTCCTTTACACACTGATATCATTTTTAGGAATTAATTACATATGTTAACATGCCTATAAGTTCAAATCCAATGCTTAATACAGTTACAACAAATTTTAATTGCACCTATATCACTTATAGAAGCTAATTACTGTTCACAGCTGTTTATCAAACCTTCCATAATAATCTCCTTTTCCTCAGCCTATCTACCAAAATTAAAATACTCATTCTTCTCTTCTGGAATAAAGATAAGCTAAAGGCATCTTTTGCCAAAGAGGTGTTATCCTTCTTTAAGTGTGCATGTCATTTACCCAAGTTTTTTTCCTCCCCAGCATGAAGTGTCTCATAAATACACAGAGGTCGAGCACTTTTATTTATGCTGAGCTAGCTGTTCTCAGCTGGACAAGTCCTATGATTACTCTTAGCAATGTGGCAATGGCACAAAATGAATATTGATGAAGAGCGAGACATGCGGCTGAAGCTTTTCATCTTTCACTCATCAGGTAAAATGTAAAATGCCAAATTTCAAACAATCACAACAATTTACTCTAAAGAAAGGGAAGCTAACTGATTGACAGGTTGTTTCTGATTGGCTGAGGGACCTGCATAGAGAGTGTTCTCTACATGCAAAAGGAATAAGAGAACATCTTGTAACTTTTCTGAATTATCCAGGAACTTTGGCCTCCAATAATTCTCTGCTGCTTTCTCCATGGTATCTCAGCAAATCAAAGTGACTCGCCAACCAATCAGCAGCACTTTCTCCAGTGTTATATAATTGTTGTGATCATTTGAAGTTTGGAATTCTTATCTTTGCCTGTTTCAGTGCAACTACTCTCTACTCACATTTCAACAGCTGTGAGAAATTATACCACAACTGCTGAGATGATTGACAACATTCTAAATCAAGCTAAAAAAATTGCCCTACGTACCCATGTTACAAAATTCCAGGATCTAGATCTGCATCTTTGCCAAAAACTAATCAGTTTTTACTTAGGCCCATACCCGTGTACTATGTCTTGTTGAAGTTTGTCCATTAGTTTGAGACATATAGCTTCACCTACATGTGTCACTGCAGCAACATTCAAACAAAAATTGGATGATTGCCCAGGTCTTCACAGAACTATTACAATGCAGGAAGAGGCCATTTGGCCCATTGTTTATGCAACAGCTCTCTGAACATTTTGATTTATTGTCAATCTCCTGTCTTTTGTTTAATCCCCTGCTCATTGTTTAAACAGAAACAATCATCAAATGAGAGACAAGGTGCAGGGCTGGATGAACACAGCAGGCCAAGCAGCATCATAGGAGCAGAGAGGCTGACGTTTCGGGCCTAGACCCTTCATCAGAAAAGGGGGAGGGGAAGGGGGTTCTGAAATAAATAGGGAGAGAGTGGGAGGCGGATAGAAGAGGGATAGAGGAGAGGATAGGTGGAGAGGAAACAAACAGGTCGAAGAGGCGGGGATGGGGCCAGTAAAGGTGAGTGTAGGTGGGGAGTTAGGGAGGGGATAGGTCAGTCCAGGGAGGACGGACAGGTCAAGAGGGCGGGATGAGGTTAGTCGGTAGGAGATGGGGGTGCGGCACAATCATCAAATGCTCTCTTGAATGCTTCAATCGAGCCTGCCTCCACCACATTTGCAGGCAATGTATTCTAGCCCATTACTATTCACTGTGTCTTTATTTTTAACCCTTTGTCCATTACATCTGCTATTTCTTCCTGTTTCTCCTACAGATCAGATCCTGCCAGCCAAAGCTAATCAAATGGAATGAATAGCCACTTGCCTTTAATCGCTTCCTTTAAACTGGAATCCACAGGAAGAATGTTTTTTTCCACAAGTTCCATCGGACCTGGTCTCTGAGCGATCTTTTCGTTCAGATCGTCTGCCAGTCTGGCTCTTTTCAGCTTCATCTGAGTGGCCTGCAGTGAAGGCTCTGCCAAGGTTTCTGCAGATTCCACACCAATATTTAATAGGAGAAAATATGCAACATAAAATATGTTGTTTTGAGAAATGTTTTATAGACTATGTAATTATAAACTTGGTAAGAATGTTTTCTTACATATACTTTCTTACCTTCTAATATGTGCATTCTGACCAGTTCAGACCTCTCAGGTCTACTTCGTATCTTGTGTTTCAAGTAGTCCTCAGTCTGAAAGAATATGAAGTTGTGCAAATTCTATTCAGATTTCTGGTTAGATTCTGCAATAACATTAGAATTGTTCATACAGTTTATACTAGCAATTGTCTTTAACAATAAGGAATATACAACTTATTTTATAATATCAAGGAAATAACACCCTCAACAGGGTCTCCCAATGAATGTCAGTAATTATTGAAGAAATGATGTACTTGAAACATATAAGATTCTTAGTGCCTTGACAGGGTAGATGCAGAGAGGTTGTTACCCCTTGTGGAAAAGTCTAGAACAGAGGGCATAATTGTAGGGTAAGGATTTGCTCACTTAAGACAGTGATGAGGAGAAAATATTTATTTTAAAGGATGGTGAATCTGTGGAATTCTTTACCACAGAGAGCTGTCAAGACTCATTTGATAAGTATATTCAAGACTGAGATAGACAGATTTATAACCGGTAAGGGAATCAAAGGTTATAGGGAAAAGACAAGAAAATGGAGTTGAGGATTTTCAGATTAGCTGTGGTCTCATTGAATGGTGGAGCAGACTTGGTGGGTCAAATGGCCTAGTATTGCTCCTATGTCCTATGGTCTTACTTGCAGGAAAGTCAGCTAATGTCAGTAATATTCTTCCTGTTGGAAATTTTGTTGAATTTTGTCTTTCCAACAAGTTGTTTGAGTGTTCGGGTACTAGAACTAATAATCTCAGAGGCTTGCTCAGACCTTGGCAGAGGCATAATTTTCTTTTGTTAGGGTGCAAGAGGAGAAAATAGCACAGCTATCACACTTTTACACACACCTCTAAAGGGAATCCTTTCAGGCAGTGAGTTCCAGATTCCACTAGCCTCTCACTAAAAAAAAAATTGTACCGTTGAATCTCCTCCAAACCTCCTAAGCTTACCATAAATTGACGACCATTGGATATTGACCCCTCAGTCAAGGGGAATGGTGTCTTCCCTTATGCTCTACCTAGAACATCATAATTTTATAAATTCCAAATAACTCTCCCCTCAGTCTCCTGTTAGAAAAACAACAACCCTATCCCACCCAATCGTTACTCATAACAAAAACTCTCCAGTCCAAGCAACACCCTCATATATCTCCTTTGTACCTTCTTTAGTGCTCTCACATCTTTCCTATAGTGTGGTGACTAGCTGTGATTCAACTAGTATTTAACACTGTTCCAGCACAACCTCTCAACTCTTATATTCTATGCCTCAGCTAATAAAAGCAAGCATCCAGTATGCTTCTTGATCACCCAAATTACATGCTGATCTACCTTCAGTGATCTGTGGACATGCAGTTCAAGGTCCCGTTCTTCCTCTACACTTCAGCACTCTACTATTTATTGTGTATTCCCTTCCCTTGTTTACCCACAGGATCACCAACTTTACAGAAAGAACTCTATTTGTCACCTTCGACCTAGCTGAGTAGTTCATTCATATCCTTCTCCAGTCTACAACTTTCTTTATTATTGCCAATGTTGATATCATCTGCAAACTTCTTAACCATATCCTCTCATTCAAGTCAAATCCATTGACGTATACCACAACAAGCAAGGAATCCAGTCAGAGCCCTGCGGAATTTCACTGGAAACAGCGTTCCAGTCAAAAAAAAAACACCTGTCGACTACTAGCCTCTGCTTCCCACCTGTGAACCAATTTCAGACCCAACTTGGAGACTGCAAGCCAACGTTGAGTCCAGATGAAGCGCTGAAGAAATCGTCTAGACTTGGAACGTTAGCTGCCTGACCCACTGCGATTTCCAGCATTTTTTGCTTTCTGCACAGATTCCAGCATCTGCAGTAATTTACTCTTTCAGATCAAACTTGACACTTTGTCTTGCATTGTATGATCTTTTACTTGCATGATCAGTGTGCCATGCAGGACCTGATCAAAAGCCTAACATCCATGTAGGCTACATCAAATGCACTACCCTCATCACTCCTTGTTGCTTCCTCAAAATTCTATCGTGTTAGTCAGACATGACTTTCCTTTAACAAAACCATGGTGTCAGTGATTAATCTTCTAAATGAAGATTTATCCAACCCCTCAATTTTTCAGATTCTCAGAATCCTTTCTGCAACCAAAGTTCGGCTGACTGAACTGCATTTACTCCATATATCCCTTTCTCCCTGATTAAACAATGGTACCAAACTACTTCCTCTCCCACCATGCAGCAGAGCCAGTGCTATTGCTATGGACTTGGCTCTGTTTGCACTTCCCTGAAGTAGCAGACGATGGACTAATAGTCATATTGCACTGCTTGATGGCAGACTGCATGGCCACAAGGTAAGAAACAACCTGTGTAAACATAGAGTCATACAGTCATATCATAAGAACATTAGAACTAGGAGCAGGAGTAGGCCGTCCGGCCCTTCGAGCCTGCTCCGCCATTCAATAAGATCATGGCTGATCTTTTTGTGGACTCAGATCCACTTACCCGCGTTCTCACCGTATCCCTTAATTCCTTTATTGTTCAAAAAAAAATCTACCTTATCTTTAAAAACGTTTACTGAAGTAGCGTCAACTACTTCACTGGGCAAGGAATTCCATAGATTAACAACTCTCTGGGTGAAGAAGTTCCTTCTCAATTCAATCCTAAATCTGCTCCCTCTAATCTTGAGGCTATGCCCTCTTGTCCTAGCTTCACCTGCCAGTGGAAACATCCTCTCTACTTCTATCTTATCTATTCACTTCATAATTTTATATGTTTCTATAAGATCCCCCCTCAATCTTCTGAATTCCAATGAATATAATCCCAATCTACTCAGTCCAATGAATATAATCCC